ACCGTTTGTCCAATTTTCATGCAAATCGAATTAGATCATCTTCAGATCATCTTCAAAAATGATTTGATTCAACTTGATTAGTTAAACTGTGCAAACGAATTAGATAATGAGCACACCGAAATGGATGTGAGGCTATATTTATAGCTTTGACTAGGCCACTCCAAAACTTCTCAAAAATTTTTGCTTTTTTAAAGTCATCCAGTGGTGGACTTACTCCTATGCTTTAGATGATTTTCTTACCGCATAATCCATTTGTGCTTGAGTTTCAATTTGAAGACTGTCGATTGGACATTCTCCTGTAGGATTTTCTGCTAGAGAGCAGAATTCATGTTTCCATCAATTATTGCAAGGCCCTGAAGCAGCAAAGCATTCCCACACCATCACACTTCCACCACCATGCTTGACCGTAGGTATGAGGTTCTTTTTGTGGAATTCTCGATTAGTCAGGAGGGAAAGTTCAGAGAGGAGGATAGACATGCTGAATTTCTTTATTGAATACAACACAAGGAACAGGCTCAAGGAAATGGACTTAATGAATAAACACGAGGAGTAGACACACTTGGAACCAGGATGATCAGAACTTAATAAACTTGAAAGTGAACACTAAGAAAAATGCTAAATAATCAAAAACATAGTGCAAATAACACAAGCATAACAAAACCAGACACTCAAACATAACCTGACATCAGATAATGCTCCAGCAACTTAGGAAGAAACACAGGAAACCTAAATAGAGCACTAGTCAATCAGGGAAATAAGAAAGACATGAGTAAGGTTACACAGAAAATAGAGGGAGACAACAGAGGAAGAAGTTCTACATGGGGAACATTGAACAAGGAATTGCCCCTGGGGGCCATGAAAGTGTTTGTTTGATGCCAGATGTAACGGGATAAATGTCTTCCAAAAAGTGCCACTTTCGACTCATGAATCTACAGAACATTTTCCCAAAAGTTTTGAGGGTCATCAAGGTGTGTTTTGGCAAAATTCAGATGAGCCTTAATGTCCTTCTGGGTTAGCAATGGTTTTCACCTCGCTATGCTTCCATGGGTACCATCTTTGTCCAGTGTCTTTCTGATAGTGGAGTCATGAATAGTGACCTTTATTGATGCAAGAGAGTGCTGTAGTCTTTTTGATTTTGTCCTTGGCTCTTTTGTGACTTGCTGTATGAGTAGCTGCTGTGCTCTTGGAGGAATTTTAGAAGGTCAGCCACTTCTGGGAACGTTCACTGCTGTGCCAAGTTTTTCCATTTGGAGATAATGGGTCTCACTGTGGTCCTTTGAAGTCCCAGAGCCCTTGAAACAGCATTGTAACCCTTCCCAGACTGATGTATTTCAATCACCTTCTTCCTCATCATTTCTGGAATTTCTTTCAACTTTCTCATAGTGTGTTATTGGGTAACACCTTTTAACCAACTTCATGCTGTGAAAACGTGTTGATTTGATTGAACAGGGTTTGCAGTAATCAGGCCTGGTTGCATCCAGTCTAGCTGAACCTCATTATGATTTGAAGAATTAGTAACTATGGGGGCAAGTTAGATACGCACCGATATATCGGCCGATACTTACAGGGCTTAGTGACTATTGGTTGTTCTATCTTCAATCATTCATGCAACTTTCTGGACTGAACTTGTAGCGCAGCAACAACACTGGACAATAGCGAGTAGCTTAGCAACCAGCTAGCCAGCAGACAATAATGAGTAGCATTAGCAACGAGCTACCCAGCTAACTTTAGGGATAACTCTAATGTTGATGATTACTTCCTTTGGATAAAAGCGTCTGCTAAATGAATAAGTGTAAACGCACACAATGTTCGAAGCCGTGCTGATTTGACGTCAACTTGACTACCATAAGTTGATCAGTAGGAATATTGCATTTTCTTTGGATTTTCCTGGTTGGAACTTTGGAAGTACAAGTTGCGACCTCGAGCTGAAAGCAGCATTAGTAATGCTGTGTTCGTGGTGACTTGTAAGTGGTAATTTCCAAGTTGTAATAAAGTGTCAAACGCAGCATAAATGTACTATATTATGAAGTGGTCATTGGAGATGCATTTGAGACCAATAAATGCCAGGTGTAAACAAGTTTACATCTGAGGTGTATACTTGGATCACCTGACATAGATATTAACCCCAGAACCTGAACTTTGAATACATGTGAAAGTGGTTTCATTAGACCTGTTTAAACCTGTACTCTGTACTTGTATTAAGATCACTTGGGATGCTTGAGTAACTATTGTAAAAAAAAAAAAAAAAATTGAATTGTTTGCACAACACTCGATCACACGCCATTGCATCAAAGCAACTTGAATTTGTATTGTATTGAATCATCATCTGCTTCAACTGTCAGCTCATTCATTACTTTCAAGGAGTGCTTCTTATCAGAATTAGGGGAACACCCCTACTGAGAAGCGTGCTAAGCATATCAAACACCAGCAAGGTACACCCTGAACGTTGGACAAAAAAAAAAAAAAAGAAATGCTTGAAATTCTTCAGGATCTGAAAAGAAGACACAATGCAGTTTCTTTAGAAACTATAGGATACAATGCCACCTCTATTATCCTGAATCCTCTTTGGAGGATGTCCACATGCCCGGTATCAACAAATCCACCTTCAGCTGCAGGAATGTGTGTAATGTTCACCACACAGTCTTCTGTACGAGTGCCAGTAATGGAGGAAGACATGGATCAGGTTTAGAGAAGTGCTGGGTTTCCTTTTTTCCTGCCCCCTGGGCTCGACCTGGCAGATTTTCTAGAGGTTCTTCCTGCATCTTTAAAAATGATGGAAATATTGTGGTGCTGCCGGTGCATACTTTTACAAACGTCTTCAAGAAATCCAGGTGTTGTTCCTATGCAAATTTATATGCAAACGCCTCAATCCTGCATACCTGACCCGTTTCTGTGCAAAGCAGCATACTATCAAAATGTATATACTCTTCTGTAATTTGCGTGCATATTGTTTTATGTTTTATGACACAGTATCACTTGCGTGTTACATGTTAAATAACTGACTTCCACCCTCTCGTACACTCGGCAAAACCATTTGCGGGACATTCATTGCTAAGTCGTGAACAGAATAGGCGGGTTATGTGTTTGCATGAGAATCCACTGACTGATTTGAATTTTTGGAACGCTGCATGATTCCACGTTTGAAACGAACGGCGCCAGCAAAGTTCAGCGGTAAAACAGAGTTGAGCTTTGAGAAAAGCAAAGCTCGTCATTGTTCTGCTACTGATATCGCTGGTGTTAAAGGCCCCAAATCTCTCACACGACAGACCAACATTGTAAAAGGGATCATTCTAACGCCTGACGTCAATCCACTCCTCGCAAAATAATACAGGTCAGAGGGCGATGCAGCGTACGCCCGAGATTTATTAAGTCATGCTGCATAGTACATTGTCTTGGACATCCAGAATGTCATCCTTCTTTGGCTCATATAGTTCGGGCAACTAAGTAAATAAATTAATAAGCAAATAAATAAATAGTAGCCTCTAAAAGAGTAAAGGGGAAATTGTGTAAACACACACACACACACATATATATATATATATATATATATATATATATATATATATATATATATATATATATATATATATATATATATATATATAATGCTCATACCTTAAACCATCAGCGCAATAACAAAGTTCCAGTCAACTGGCAGTGTTATGAATCAAGCTGGAATTGAACACGTGTCTATTTTGTCTCAACGCACAGTGAAGAGGACGGTTCAAGTGGCCAAAAAATCTCCAAGGATCACAGCTGGAGAATTGCAGGAGTTAGTTGTGTCTTGGGGTCAGAAGGTCTCCAAAATTACAATCTGAAGTCACCTACATCACCACAAGTTGTTTGGAATAGTTTCAAGAAAAAAGCCTTTACTCTCCTCCAAAAACAAACTCAAGCATCTGTAAGATTCAACCACGGCCCATTTTAAGCTTTCTGGCAGAGGGAGTCAGGTTTTCATTTAATATCTGTTGATATTTGGCCATCATGCCATGTATCCTAACAAAATGTCCAGGTCCTCTGGCAGAAAAACAGCCCCAAAACATTAAAGAGCCACCGCCATATTTATCCGTGTGCATGAGGTACCTTTCCACATGTTTCCTACATTCCTTCAAACATGCACATACAAACACAAAATGTTGCTGTTTTTTGGTTTGAGAAAAAAAAAAAAAAACCTTCCAATGTCCGTGTTCACGAGGAAGACGTACCCATTTTTTCTCTCCATTTAAGCATTTATTCTATGCCTTCCTATATTTAAAATTTTAATATCCATGAAGCAAAACCGAATAATTCTCGGCATTCTCATTTTTAGGTTCATTGTGACTGCCTCAGCAGGAATAACGTCAGGTTTGTCCTTTGAAGTGAGCATTGAGAAAATCTTCAAGCAGCAGAGAAAAGATGGATCCTCTCTCTCATTTTTTTTCTCTCTGGCACTACTTCATACGAGGTGGTATAAGAAATGTGGTTTTTATGTGCTAAGCCGTCCGTCAAGCTGAAAATGGGCTTCTTTTTTTCATCTATGTGGCGGTTGGAGAGCTGTTGTGAAGACTGTTTTAACTGCAATGGCTCAACATGCACAGACAAACAAAAGACACACAAATGCACATCCATAGAGCGCCGTACAAACATTCAAGCTGTACACTTACCTGGATGCTGTAAGAATTGCTGCTTTTCGCCACAGCAACCTCTGAGCATCCATTCCCAGAACACCACACACGTTCCCCCTTATAAAATGTGATATTATGGATACATTCTTTTGGGGGAATTAATCTGAGTATGTCCATCCATGCATTTTCTGTACCGCTTATCCTACACAGGGTCACGTCCCAGGGATATCAGGGCACGAGGCAGGGGACACTCTGGATGTTGGGTCAACCCATTGCAGGACACAATCGCACACACATTACAGACAATTTGGAAATGTCAATCAGCCTACAACGCATGTCTTTGGACTAGGGGAGGAAACTGAAGCACCGGGTGAACATACAAGCTCTGCGCACACATGGCTGAGGCAGGATTTGAACCCCCAACCCTGAAGATGCAAGGAAAACGTGCTAACCACTAAACCACCGTGCCCCTAATTTGAGTATGTGTATTGGTGAGGGCTTAGGTGAAGGCTAACAGATGCTTCTTCGGAGACACATGAAGCCGGCGAATCTTCCGCATTCATGAGCTCACAGACCTCAACGATTGGCTAGTATCATTATGATTGACAGAGGCGAGAGTGTATACCAAATTTTTCACTCCCTGTCTCCTGCGCAGAGATGACTCCAGAGGATAGGGAGAACACTTTTCTACTGTGTCACATATTCATTTTATGTGACTCACGGTTGATTCGTCAAATCCCTATGATGAGACCATTCATATTAATAGAGTAGTACGTATTTTAACACCCACACTTCACTAACAATATAGGTAATACGATGCAGTCATCACTTTCAAGCACCTCCGAGCACCCGGGCAGTCTTTTTCTTCTCGTTTCTCAACCCCCATATTCTCTAACAGGTGCCTTAATATCTCTGCAAATAAGGGCTGTTTGAACAAACGTGACTGACGCTGATCTAGCTGCGTTTCTCCGAGGCAGAGCTGAAAGACGAAAAAGGGCCTTTTCTTCAAACGGCAGAATGCATCATCCTCCCCTCTGCGCTCAGCCTCACCTCAACCTCACGGTTAATGTATTCTGCATTTCAGAACATTAAAGCGCCAATCAAACGGAGCGTGTCAGGGTTCCAGCGCGTTGCGGAACGAGAAAGCCCTCCTACGGACCGAGCGCTGAGGAGGAATCATGTGTGTGTGAGTCCTACCCACAGGCAAAGTTATCCTTTCATGTGGCTAACCTGCACAGCAGCTGACAAATAAAAATAACTAGGCTGATAAGGATGCAAAAGAAATGGCGCTTTTGTGATGATAATTTACAAACTCCTGAGTTTACACGTATGTCTAGTGCATATCGATTGGCATGAGTTCAGAGAGTATTAATAAATGAATAGATGAACCCTTTAAACACTGGATACTTTTCACATCAACCCTTAATATGTTCCCATTGAGCCAGCATACACTGCATTGTTTTAGTCTGCTTTCCTTATTTGGGCTTCCTGTTCTTCTTAACACACTTTGTTTACTGATTGTTCCTGCTTCCTTATTTAAGCCCTTTATCTTCTTGTTCGGGGGTGGTGGTGGGAGGGTTACAGTAGCTTAGTGCTTAGCATGTTTGCCTCGCACCTTCTGTGCTGTTGGCTGATTGGCATTTCCCAATCGTCCGTGTGTGTGTGTGTGTGTGTGTGTGTGCGATTGCACCCTATCCAGGGTGTCCCTGCCCCATACCCCAAGTCCTCTGGTATAAACCCCAGGTTCTCCCCTGACCATGATTTCTATATAGTAAATCGTTTTTCTATCGTAACAGTGTAATCCATTCAGACTCTCCATGTCAAATAAAAAATGTGTGCAACTCTTTTGACATGGTGAAGTTTTCTGTTTGGAGAATTAGCACTTTTGGAAAGAGTCTCCAGTGTCAGTGCTTTGTGACAATCAGAGGTAATTATTTATAGCTGCAGTAACAAGTGATAACCATAATTAACTTGTTTTGCAGACATTTCAAAACATTAAACGTACCTATGAAAGGATAAAAACTATGACAAATTTTTCTTTAATGAATAAATTGCTTCTTCTAGATATCCAACTGTTATTGGGTGATAACGCATTACACCTCCCATAACAGCGTTTTATTAATGACTTATTACACTTTACCATGTATGCATGTACAGTAATCACTCACATACAGTATTCACATGCAATCTATTGTCACGGTACGGCCAGCAGAGGGCACTGTGGCCCCGGTCAGGTCACGTGACTGTGGTTTTGCTCGCGCACTTCGTTCGTGTTTTGGGGTTAACGAACACTATGATTTAAACGCACTGGTTACTGAGCACATTGCTCGGTATTATCTAGATTAAGGCTAGTGATTCTAGCAGTCTGGTTAACGAGTACTATGTGTTGTAGCGGTTTCCTAGTTTTTCCATGCTACGTTTGCTCCTAGTTTTTCTACACTACGTTTTGATTTGAGTTTTCATCTTTATGTTCAAGAAAAGAAGTTGAATCAGCACCTGCCTCCGTCTCCCGTCTACAACCACCTGACATCTATCCTGTAGGGTGAAAAAAATAAAAAAAAATAAAAATACACAGGTGAAATCAGATCTGGCCTTCGAGCGAATTTGCATTACTGGCATTCCCTAAAACTCAGATCTGATGTTCGTATTAATTGAAAACGACATCAAGATGGCAACAACAAATTCTCTTTCAGTCAATATTAAATCCACTCAGGGCAATTGTAAAGTCCAGCTGTACTTATATACCCAGAAGGCTAGTGACCCACAGAGTGAGAGAACACTAAGAAAACCCCATCATATTTGATATGATTGTCATCTCAAACAGCTGTGAGGAAAAAAATAAAAACAATCTTTCTGTTTGGAAAGGCTTTGTTTCAAGAGAACTGTTCTCCTTAGAGATTTTCTTAGCAAAGAAATAATCATTTGGAAATGTTTACAGGGGACAGATGGACGCTAAACACATGAACGTAATGTAGATAATATACGGCTTATAATCATTTGAATGTGTAATCTAGTTAGCTAGCTATGAAAAGTTTACCCTGCTGTTTCCTACTGGGCAACACAAAATCTCAAGGTTTGCAAAGTTGCTCAGAATGACGCCAAACTATATTCCTATTCAAGTAATTGTGCTTTTTTTTATGCTCTGCCTACTCTTTAAAACCTTCATTCGCAGTGCATTGTGGGTAAAATAAACCCGGCTTTCGCCAAGATTCCTTCATATGAACACTCGAACCCAACTATGCATTCTAGCTCTTGAGCATTTGGAAGTTAGTTTATCGAACAGCATCATAGCTACTCAGCCAAACACTGCTGCATCCTGACACGGTAATCACAGTAAGCATAAGCTCCTACCCTGGCGGGAAAAAAAAAAAAGAGACAACATCAAATGCTCCAACTGTCTGCAGCATTTGCATGTCGCCTTTGATGTGGGAGATTTAGACAAAGCGCCGCTGCCTAGATGAACAGCGTGAAGGTTAAAGCTGCTCTGGCAAGAACGCAGGGGCTGAGGAGGGGCATAGCATTTCACAACAACAGAGTTCATCTGTAGTGAGAAACACAGGGATATACAGTATATATGCTAGATGTATGGTATTCAAGGCTTACATACTGTAAGCACTTATGGAATCCCATTTCTTCACTTATGTCATAAGAGCTACAAATTGTTTGTCTCTCACCAGACGTACCCTCTTGAAGAAAAATTGCAACTTGGCATGTCACCTTGCCAGGGCGGCTGTGGATCAGGTGGTAGAGCGGGTTGTTCACTAATCGTAGGGTTGGCGGTTCGATTCCCGGCCCACGTGACTCCACATACCGAAGTGTCCTTGGGCAAGACACTGAACCCCAAGTTTCCTCTGATGGCATGTTAACGCCTTGCATGATATGCGAGTATGTGTGTGAATGGGTGAATGAGAAACAGTGCTTTGTAGAACCAATAAGCTTAAAAAGGCCCTATATAAGTGCAGACCGTTTACCATCTACCATTTTCTGGGACTGAAAAAAAGCCACACCTTCTTCACTGGGACTGAAAAAAGCCACACCCCCTTCACTTGGACTAGCAAAGGCCACATCCCCTTCATTGGGATTGACAGGCAAAAAGGCCACACCCCTTCACTCAGACTAACAAAGGCCACAACTCATTACTTAGACTGACATGCCCTAAGACCACACCTCCGTCAGTGGGAGTGACGGGCACAACAGCGACAGACCCTTCACTGGGACTGAAAATGTTCACACCCCTTTATTAGGATTGATTGATACAAAGGCCACACCTCTTTCACAGAGACTGGCAAAGACCACACTCCCTTCACTGGGACTGACTGACACAAAGCCAATGCACGTTTCACTGAGACTTGAAGCGCATTGGATACAAGCGCTATATAAGCCATTTATTCACCAAGAAATCACCAAGCATAAACTCCTCTTTTCCGAAGACTTTACTGTGGTGGAAATACCGGCACAAAGCACTGACACTGGAGACTCCTTCCGTAAATGTTAAATAAAAGTCTCACACACCTTTTTTGCTTTTGAGCCTCCTCATCCTTTATCCTGGATCGAGCATCAATGAAGTCCGGTAGCTCTGTACTACTGACCTTCTGACCCTCAGAGAATGGTCTGTGGGCTCCACTAATGCAAGCTAAAGAAAAAAGTAGGCAGAGACATAACACGTGTCACTAAGAGCCGTATCACTCTAATCACCAAATCATCCAGATACGTAGGCATTAGTGTGGAGAAATGCAACAAGGTTATGTCATCAAACAAAGTGCAAGTTAATCACAGTCTTGGAGTGACTCAACTCCATCAAAATGTAGTATTTCGACTATGTAAGTGGACATACTGTAGCTTGCTTTATGTTTCAGTGTTTCTTTTTATGTGATTCCATTCAGGTTGATCTTTTTGGAAACCTTACTCTTGGGATTTTACAATGGGAAAGGACGATCAGGTTTATCTGTGTTCTCATCTAATTCATACACTCTTATAAGAAAAGGTTCCGTCTAGTACCCTAAAGTAGTAGCTCTCAAACTATTCCTAAGTGTTTTTCTTTCTTTCTCTGGTCTCTAGTTCTTGTTGTGTCTAGTTGTCCACCAATCAATCAATCAATCAATCAATCTATCTATCTATCTATCTATCTATCTATCTATCTATCTATCTATCTATCTATCTATCTATCTATCTATCTATCTATCTATCTATCTATCTATCGTTTTGTTTCTCTGTGCCTTTATTTGTTTTGCGTCAAATTTTGCAATAGTTCTCCTTGTTCCCACAGTTCATTCATTCATTCATTTATTTGATTGTTTCCGCCTAGTCTCTTGTTATGTCATGTCTAATTTTGCAGTAGTTCTCCTGGTTTTCACACTTTTGTCAATCGCACTTTTTTCTTTCTTTCTTTCTTTCTTCTTTCTTTCTTTCTTCTTTCTTTCTTTCTTTCTTTCTTTCTTTCTTTCTTTCTTTCTTCCTTCCTTCCTTCCTTAGTCTCTCATCTTTTCTGTGTGTTTTGACATAGTTACCGTGTCACTGTACATGTCTGTTATACTGCATTATGGAATGGTTATCTATACTACTCTTTCTCAGTCAAACTATTCTGACTCAGACCTGTTTAAAATGGAAGTTGAATAGTTTGTTTGGACATTAGGCGGAAAAATCTTATTTGTTGACTTTGCTTTCCATAAACCAATCCAGCAAACACGCATCTTTCAATCGATTCATTTGCACTAATTGTTACAAGGTGCAGTCTGCACTGAGTAATGGCCGCTTGAACATATCAGTGCATCCCAGTAACAGAAAGAAATCAAGGTAAACACAGCTAAATGATGCTCACAGATCATAATGGATGCTTAATGTCTCAGTCTCTCTTCTCTCCTTGAGAGAACAGCACAGAGGAGAGGAGAAACGAAATAAAAAACTATTTCTTGTTCTTCTGCATGACTGTGTCTCGGCATAGCAGCCATGTGCTCTGAGATGAAACAGTGAGAGAGTGTCTTTGAAATCCTCCTCAAGTCAAAATTAACATTTTTATTTCAACTCTAGCCAAGTGAGAGGAGAACCAGGGCTGGGCAGACCACTCTGGGCAACACACATAATTGTTTATTGTGTGTAAACTTCAGGGAACAATGGTTGGGGAATAAACGCTGCATGTAGGAGGAGGAGGCGAACTGCTGGAACGAACACAAAGCAAGAACATGGCCTTGTTTTCTCCGTAGGATGACCACATGAAAGACAAACCCGTTAGGCCCATTACTATGTTCCATAATGTATGCGTTTTAATAATTATCACACAATATAAACCCTTTCCATCACACGCTCCGCCACAGGGGGAGGACATATGGTTCTTTTTGATACTCTTGACTTTTTTTTTTTTTTTTTTTTAGTCTGATTTCAGCTGTGCTTTTGTCTTGGACAATGCTGTCTTAGTTCACCAGAGAAATGATAACTTTCATACTGGTTAGATTAACTTGCAAAACTCATAAGTAGTTATACTCATACGGTATTATGGCATTCATTTTGAGTTCATGCATATTGTATTATATTATCTTGTTGAATTCTTGAATCTGATTGGTCAGAAGGTGTTGATTCATTTTCTATAACAGCAGCTTTGACAGTAGTTCCAGCTGCAAGGCAAATCACAGATTGATATTAATGCACTATTTCTAATACATTATTGTTTTATAGTAACATACTTGCACTGTACTGTGCACATAAAGGGATTAAAAACCATATGTAATTGCTGATATGGTGAAGTCTTCTGTACGGAAATGTTGATTTAGCATTTTAGTCTTAAAAAGTCTCCAGTGTCAGCATTTGTAACAGTCAGAGGTAAAGCTTTTCCTTTAAGCTTTCCAGCACTGGAGTCTTCAAGACGGAGGACTTTGCGCTTTTGCACATTCTCAGTAACATGTCAAGCTCTTGTCATGGTCTTATTAAAAGTAAAGAGAGGCTGGTGAGGGTACACGGGTTTATAGATGTGATGACATAAGTGATAACAGGAACTCATTTGTTTTGTGGATGCTCCACAACATTTAACACATCCATAAGCAGATAAAAGGTTCTATGGGTCATTCTTGAATAAAGTCAAATTAAATTCATTAAAAAATTGTAATCATAGTCAAAATGCTGTTGCATAAGAAACAAACAAACAAACAAACAAACAAAAAAAACCCCACTTTGGGACATGCAGTTATTGGCATAAATAATGACTTTGTTGTGGAAACAGTGTGTCAAGCAGTGTCAGATTCCACGTTAACAAGTCCGCTATTGATTTCAGCGTTTCAGTAAAATGACCTTAGACATGCAGTGTGTACAATGCTAAACCTGTAGCTCTAGTACAAAACTAAAGTAAAATTCAAACATTAAGATTCAAACATTGATTGAACAACTATGCTCAGGAGAAGGGGAAAAGTGTGCACACTTTGTTTTATATTTATATTTATTCATTTTATATTTATCTTTTGCATTTTCAGTGAATTTACAGCTCACAAAATGTGCTTTCGTTTCACTCTCAAGCCGTAAGACGTATTGCAATATGCAATACCTGATTATAAATGTGATTCTTAGTACGTATATGCAGATGATATATCACAATTTTCAACACACACTATACTGAGCATATTTTCTACACAGTTTCTACACAGTTTGGTCTTGCCAACTGCCAATCGTGCTTCCTCCGAGACTCGTAATCTCCAATCATTCTGAACTGCTGTTCATGCTGAATCACGTAACACAGTTGGAGGAAAGCACTACCTGCCCTCTTCCACATAAATGAGCACACAAACGCCATGGCTAGTGATTGACAGGAGCAGGAGCGTATGACGTCCCTCCCACCCATGGATGGTTTTGGCATCATCGTGAAAAATCTATTTTTACTTGAGATCAATTCGAAGTCAGGATATATCCATCCATCCATCCATCCATCTTCAACCGCTTATTCCTTCTTCAGGGTCACGGGGAACCTGGAGCCTATCCCAGGAAGCATCGGGCACAAGGCAGGGTACACCCTGGACAGGGTGCCAGTCCATCGCAGGGCACAATCACATACACACTCACACACCCATTCATACACTACGGACAATTTACCAACCTACCAATCAACCTACCATGCATGTCTTTGGACTGGGAGAGGAAACCGGAGTACCCAGAGGAAACCCACGCAGCACGGGGAGAACATGCAAACTCCGCACACACATGGCCCCGGCGGGAATCAAACCCCGGATCCTGGAGGTGTGAGGCTCCCACTAACCACTAAGCCACCGTGTGCCCAGTCAGGATATATTGAATGTATAATTCTTAGGGAAACCATTTCATAAATGTATTCAGTTGGAAAGAGTTTAATAAAAGTCTGAACATCTGATGCTGACCACTCTGACCTTCTGGTTAAAATGCCGGCCAATGCAAACATCATCATTTCTCTACATTATTATGAGCTGTGAGTTAAAAAAATAAAAATAAAAAAATCACACTGGCCCATTTCAAAGTGTGTAATCTCTTGTTTTCTTCTTTCAGGGTTCCATGGGTTATTTGGCACATATTTTATATAAGGGGCTATGTTTTCCCAAGAACGACATAAAATGAAAGAGCAAGGATCACTTTGAACGCTCTCTCTAACAGTCATGATGTTATCTATATTTTACACATACTCAACCCACAAGGAATGAATAATGCTAAGGCAAACTGTAGCCAGCTGGTCAGACTCAGAGGCTGAATAACTGAGAAGGATTTTGGGTCTTGGAATTTTTTTAAGGCAGGTAAATCGATCAATAATCATATATAATAACAGTGCGACCTGTGGTAACAGGCAGGATGCGTGTAAACTCAGTAGTGGTTTTATTTGAGCAAATCCAAGAACCGAAATCAGAGTACATAGCCAAGGTCATGATGCAGGGGAATACATAATCAGAAATGAGGAACAGGAACCAGGAAGTAAAAGGAAGGAAACGGGGACTTGACTTATCGTTACAAAAGCATGATGATAAAATGATACACTGACACGACTGGACATACACAAACAAACTAATAAAGGACAAACACGGAAAAGGTGAACACAATAGAATAACATGAATGGAGACGGGACAAAAACAGATACCAAAAGATGAGTGCCATGGGAATGGCAAAGCTAAGTAAGATAGTTTTCACACACTGCAGCCCATTGCATTTATCTATGTTTATAGTGAGGGTCAGCACCTCTACATCTGAGGCTATGGCTCTCAGACGGAAAAGGGAGGGTTGTTCCATTCAGGTACTGCCGCAAGCAGAGGAGTTTAAGCATCTCGGGGTGTTGGTCATGAGTGAGGGTAGAGTGGAGCAGGAGATTGACGCACGGATTGGCATAGCAGCAGCAGTTATGCGGATGAAGTGGTGAAGAGAGAGCTGAGCCGAAAGGTGTAGTAATCAATTTACCGGTCAATCCACATCCCAACTCTCACCTATGGTCATGAGCTTTGGTTAGGGACCAAAAGAATGAGTTAGTGGCTACCGGCGGTGTTAATGAGCTTCCAGGGTGGCTGGGCTCAGCCTTAATGGAGCTCAGACATTCAGGGGGCGCTCAAAGTAGAGTCACTGCTCCTCTGCATCAAAACGAGAAAATTGAGGTGGTTTGGCCACCTGGCAAGGATGCTTCCTGGACACCTCCCTGGGGAGGTGTTTTGGACATGTCTAACAGGCAGAAGACCTCAGGGCAGACCAAGGACTATATGGAGAGATTATATCTCTCGTGGAGGAGGTGGATGGGGAGAGGGATGTCTGGGCATCTCTGCTTAGACTGCTGCCCCCACTTGATGGTCCATGTAATGGCACATAATGCTACATGGATGTAAGGTGTAGGTGTGTGTGTGTGTGTGTACATTTGTATTTTGGCCCTTTTCCTTCTGGTCTGTGCTGCTAAACACTATGAAGGCAAATGCAAATATTTACCAGTGGAGGTTCAGCAAGCCGTGGATGGCCCATGGTACGTCCTTGATGACTTTGATTACTGTATATCTGAGTTAGAGAGAAAGGATAAGAAGAAGCGGAGAGAGAGAGAAAAGAAAGGGAGAGAATAAGTGGGATTAGAAAAAGTTCTGAAACAGTTCCTGCTCTGCATTCCTAATGCACTACAAGAACCCTGACCCTGAGTAAGTAGCAGAAGTGATGCAATGTACAGGATATTTCAGCAACATTGTTGATTTCTCACTTGGGTAAAAACAAAAGCAGAGCCTTTCTGACAAAAGTGTTAGTAATTGCATGTTAGCTATAACAATTTCATGCACTCCTCTTCAGTCAGTGTTTTATCCTAGTCAGGATCACAGTGGATCTGGAGCCTATTCTCGGAACAATGAATGTGAGCCTTTGGTGTAGACAATCCACCTATGGACATGTATTTGCAGTGGCAGTGGTAGTGGTAGCTCAGTGCTTAAGATGTTGGACTTCAGAGGCTGCTGGGCCCTTGAGCAAGGCTCTTAACCCTCAACTGTTCAGTTTTATAAACGAGATAAACGTACGTTGCTCTGGATTAAATGTGAATGTATTTGGGAGGTTGGAGGAAAACCATGTGAACACTTAACAGACAGTACCCCTAGCTCACGATTGAACAGGGGACCCTGGAGCTTGAGGCAAGGATGCTACCCGCTAAGCTAAGGTATTACCCAAGCTATAGATATAATTTTAAAAATGTTCGAGAAGAAAGGTGGTTATTTTGTGAAGCTTGTTCAGAAAAGCAATCTCCATCGTCAAGAGTTCCTGGTTTGTATTACTCTGGGGCAGGAACGACAATGGTTACATGGACTATGTATGAGGATCTCAGTTTCTGACGGGAATGTGCCAAAAGTTCCTGAAAAGGTTCCTGTGATGAAAACATTTCCAAAGAGAGAGAGCAGAGAGCATGTGGGAAAGGATGTAAGGAGAAAGAGAGAGAGAAACTGAAATCAGAGTAGGGTACAGGAAGTGAGCGCTGTGCCACTATGCCGCTGACCCTTGACGCCCATCTGCGTGTCGGTAGCGGGCGACTCGGGCACCGTTCCAGCCTTAACACAGGATTCCAGCTTTTATCGACTGCCAGCGATTCATCTCTTTAAAGAAGCAGGAAGACGGGGGAGAATAGACCTCAGCTGCCAATTATTGGAAAAACATCAAGGTCTGAGTGGAAAGAAATGGAGAGAGATTAACTAGATCACTTTGGATGCCTTGCTGTTGTTTTTTGCCCAGTGGGAATGGAAAGTGTGAATAACAGAACTCTGTTATATTTAGACGTGTGTGTTTGCATGCATGGCAAAAGGGACACGCAAATGCAAAAAAGGAGGATAGATGTATATATACGGTTAATTACTGTGTGTGCACATGGTCTAGACGTACAGTACACAACCACTGGATGAGAGAACGAGAGATGTGCAATGTGCCAGCTCAGCACAAAGCCATGGAAAAACATCTGGGGCAAAAATAAAAGTGCATTTATCCCACAGTCTTGTAGAAAGATTCACACAAGTGACAGATTTGTGTGGATAAATATCACTTTCCATTTTCTACCTGGCTAAATATGAGTCTGTACTGAAACTAAGCATGACATTTCAGAGAGCTCTAAAATAACTTTTTCTCAAAGACATGTTTCAGACAAGTAGAACTGACATTAAAAATATCAAGCAGGGTCTCTCTGCAGGCCTCCATGCCTTTCAGTGTTACAGATGGGCCTGTCTTTGAGACCATATAAGAACTCAAAGACATGCTTGCAAATGTTTCCGAGTCTCTCATGAGTCCAAACATCCATGCCCTTCTTCCGCAGTCAATCCGTCACTTACTGAGTCCTGCAGCATTGGTGCATCAGTCTCAATATTTACAAGGTGTCTGTGCTTGTCGATCTCTGTAAAATCATGGCATTTCAGTCCCACTTAACAGTTGAGGCCTCTATTCAAGTCTCAGTGAAATGTGCATTGGCTTTGTGTCAGTCAGTCCCAGTGAAGGGAGTGTGGTCTTTGCCAGTCTCTGTGAAAGAGGTGTGGCCTTTGTATCAATCAATCCTAATAAAGGGGTGTGAACATTTTCAGTCCCAGTGAAGGGTATGTCGCTGTTGTACCCGTCACTCCCACTGACGGAGGTGTGGTCTTAGGGCATGTCAGTCTAAGTAATGAGTTGTGGCCTTTGTTAGTCTGAGTGAAGGGGTGTGGCCTTTTTGCCTGTCAAACCCAATGAAGGGGATGTGGCCTTTGCTAGTCCAAGTGAAGGGGGTGTGGCTTTTTGCAGTCCCAGAAAATGGTAGATGGTAAACGGTCTGCACTTATATAGGGCCTTTTTAAACTTATTGGTTCTACAAAGCACTTTACACTGTTTCTCATTCACCCATTCACACACATACTCGCACACCAATGGCAGCAGAGCTGCCATGCATGGTGCTAGCCTGCCATTGGGAGCAACTTGGGGTTCAGTGTCATGCCCAAGGATACTTCGGCATGTGGAGTCACGTGGGCCGGGAATCGAACCGCCAACCTTCAATCCCAATCAATCCCAGTGAAGGGTGTCTGGTTATTGCAGTCTTAGTGGAGTGGGTTTGGCGTTTGTCAATCACAGTGAAGGGGGTGTGGCTTTTTTCAATCCCAGTGAAGGAGGTGTGGCCTTTTTGCCTGTGACTACAGTAAAGGAAATTTGGCTTTTGTGCATTTCATCCATCCATCCATCTTCTACCGCTTACTCCTTCTTCAGGGTCACGGGGAACCTCGAGACTATCCCAGGGAGCATCGGGCACAAGGCGGGGTACACCCTGGACAGAGTGCCAGTCCATCGCAGGTTGGTGCATTTCAGTCTCATTGAAATAAATGTGACCTTTGTGTCAGTCATCCCATTGAAGGGAGTGTGGCTTTTTTGCATATCAGTCTCAGTGAAAGGTATGTGGTCATTGTCAGTCCCAGTGAAGGAGGTGTGGCCTTTAAAAAGTCTCAATCCCAGGAAAGGGGGTGTGGCTATTATCAGTTGAATCATTGGCTGCTTTAGACATCTTTTATATCTTGAATTGACCATTAGATACATGAAGTGTGCACTGTACCATATCTTTAAAACAAATTGTAAAACAAAAATATATGACTTAAATTAAAGCAAACAAACTAATGTTTTCCCTATTTTTCACACTGCTGGTGGTTAATGTAACTAACAAGTTATACAAGTTTATTTTCAACAAAAAATGAATCAAATGTAAGACTTTATCCGAACACTGCAATACCATGGGATAGCCATTTTTCGACAATTGGAATATTTTTTTTAGTAAAATTTCATATTTGTGCACTTTGGTGCTGCCTCTCA